ACGAGGACCGCGTAACCACTCGGCGGCGCACCTAACCCGCCGACTCGGGATACGCGCGTCACATATTATTCATCTACCTAGGAGTTTTAGTTTGTTTCACCATTAAATTGGAGCAGACATCCTACTGCACCAAAATAACCCTTAAAGAAGAAAAAATACATAAATATCATTGAACACGTTTGTTTTCTGGATTTGTGTAAAAAATATTTTATATATATTTCACCTCATGTTCTAAGAACAAAGCTTTCATCGTTCCTTTAGACCAATAGTCCATAGCATAGGCCAGAAGTTTCATCGATATAGGGTTTACTCTAAGGAAGTTCCCTACGAACACTACCTAAAAATATCAGTCAACATTACTATTGAAAAATAAATATCGTAAATACATTCAGAGGAAACTTTCTTTACCTTTTCAATTTTTTCATTCACTGCGCACATACGCGCGATAGAACCAATATTGTTTGTAATTGTAACAAGCGTAGCACGTGCGAGATCCTCTTTGCTAACTGCATTCCGCCGATCTTTAGAATTCATCTGTCCGAAACTATATGTACAGTTATAAGTTGATGTGTATTCAATAAACGATGAACCCTTATGAGTATAAAATGAATTACCTGCTGGCGACAAGATCTCCAGGAAGACCGAAACGCCCGTAATCCCCACCATAAATGTCCTTAACGAGCTTATCGACTCTACTATTATCACCGCTGGTTGCTAATTCTATTGCCTCTTCAAAAGTGTTGCATCCGGTTAATAAGCAACATAATCCTAAAAACGTACCACCACCTAGACTAAATACAGAACGAACGTATTATTTTATATCCTTAAATGAATATTTTGCATCTGTACTATTAAGAAAAAAAAAACACACCTGGTACCAGATATTCTTTTATAATTGTCTGGCCCGTAAACTGCTAATATGCTTACGCCTGACCCTACATTTACAAGCTGCAAAAAATATAGTGTTAGTCATACTATTGTACAATATTATTTCATATCGAAGGAAATGAAACGTACTACAAACGGATAAGGTTCAGAAAAATCATATGGAATCTTCTGGCATTTACTATCATCCGTAGGATGAGACCAGTAATAGCATTCATGTGGATTTGTTGTCTCCATATAAAGGATACCACGTATTAAACTATCTAGTTCATCAAATTTTGCTAAGTTCATGTTTACTTCCTGCAAAATAGGCATAAATTATATTCTGATTTTTACAATATCAAATTGCGTTCTAACGAACAATATCTTACTTGTATAAAATTCTTTTCAAACTTGTATGCTCCACCGCCGGTGGCACAAACTGTTGTTACAAGATTTGCCATTCCTTTGGAACGTGCTAATGCTAAAAAGTTCCCCATCTCACTTGTAGGGAACCTGATGAAATGTAAGGTACCGCGTCGACCTCTCATGCAAACATTATCCATCTGAAAGGAGTACAAGCAGCAGCACGATAAGAATTTGCAATACTAACATCAATGGAATGAATGTATTCTATTCAGGAAACATACTTGCAAATGTGTGTCTCTATGACCTGTTTTTCCATATGCTGAATTTTTAGTTAAATACCGGCGAATATTCTTCAACGTTTCCATTTCTGAATCTGCTTCGTCTCTTGTAATATCTTTAGGTTCGAAGTAAACTAACTTGGACAGTGTACCTCCTATGTCCATACCGAACCATGGCATTGCTAATGAAACGAGAAAGCTTTATTATCTTGAATAGAAATCGTGAAAAGTAATACGTTTCAAAGGTCAATAAGCAAACAAAATGCAACGGATGCAAAAATGAATTAATTTTATCTATATAAAAAGCAAACGAAAGAACGTAAGCTGCAAATACATTGGGAGCAAGAAAAAACGAAACAAGATTTAAATGCTACATAAATTAATAATTATTATCAAGGATATCTGTCTGACATTAGTTCGTTTATAAGTTGAGGTGATACTTGTATATGAAAGGAATAGATAATAATAAAAAATAAAAGTGGCTACTCTAAACACACATACACTTGAAAGACTCACAAGGAGATGAATGGTTTTTGAGCTCCTTAACTGGAGGCTCAGTACCACTGTAACCATTTGATGCCATAGCTTTAGCTGTTGTGTGATTTTTATAACTTTGAGGACTCATCGCTGTTTTTCGAGTCATTTATAATCCTGTGGAACGCAATACTTAATCCTTTAACTGTAAACCAGAAAAAATATTGTATTAATAGTGTAAAAAATACACACGATCTGCAGTCTACTTTCAAATCCTTGAATAGTCATTGTGTATCATTAAATAGCTACTTGAGATTCAGCAACCTTGAAAAACGGTTAATTCCAAGATTACTCGTTAATTATGTGTACTAGAAAATGAAAATCATGTATATATAAATTAAAAACCTATTTTATTGCTTTTAAAGTTGCATTTAACAAATATCGCACATTATTATTTTCAAACAATTTGAATTCGAACTCGAGTAGTTTATGACTCCTATTAATAACAATGAAATATCCCTTTATTACGCATCATTAATCGCTCCGAAAGTAATGACTTGTAATATCGTTCATCAAGAACGCTGATTACGTTAAAACGTCGAGGTGACACATGCAATGCAGTTGCCAATAAATCAATGTTTACAGTTGACATGAATCGATCTCGTATTGTGCAGTAATAATCGTTAACGGTAACCCAGAAAGTAAGTAGTGCATACAACAAATCGTAAGTGCGACGACATGAAAAATTATCATGACACTATCGTGATAATAAGACGACGGGTTCCTATTAGATTTCTAATGAAACAAGGAAAAAGAGAAAACGATACTGACCCTGAATAGATATTGGCTCGTCAAAACACGAGAGGGATCAAAATACAAGCACCACCTTTACGCTAGCCAACGAGAGAAGCGAAGCGATAGAATGCTGTAATAACTGTATTATGTACGGTATCATGGCAAGAAGTATTACGTCCTTACCTGGAGACATCGTTTCAAGCCGTGATTCAGTTCTCGAAACAGAAAATGCACTTTTGAAGAGGCACGTGTAACACTTAACAAATTTTTACCGTTAAAGAGAAATCAACTATGTCATTATCAAACGATGATATCGTTTCTTCGACGAACTGGTGCTACAGTACGGGTATCGATTCATATTGTCTCACAGGGCGAATCAAATTGTCTTCATTATTTAATACTTGGAGTTAATAAAAAATAGTGCAACTTGCATCACAGTCCAAATATCTGTGTGAGTTTACACAGCGACGAGAACAACAACGTTACACGATAACGGTTCGACTGTAGACTCTCATTTGGAAAACATCTCGTAATAATTGCTGATGCGAGAAGCCCTCCTTCCTTTAACCCTTATTTGCCTTTTAAATTCTCAGTATAATGCGGACATAAATATGATAAAAACGTTGGTTTATGTTAATCTTTAGCGTACCCACGTGTAACATCAGATTTATGACGTCACGAATCCGTGTTACGAAAATTTAAACGCACACATCACCACGTATCAGACATCAATACGATCAGTACACCTATCACACGAGATATGGATGTATGTATGTTGTACGTTGTACCTTTTGGTATATTACGGAGTTTGAGTCTCTTACAGTATTCACCATACCAGTTTGAAAATTTGATAAGTAAGCTACTCTGCATCTCTATATATACGTACTATGGACCATTACGTATGCTTATTTTGCAATCGCCTGATCACGTGCGTCCCGTGGACTTCAAGATGCAAATAGTATAATATGACTATTTGATATATATATAGATAATTAAAGCAATATCAATCTTTTTTATCTCATACGTTAGACAATTACGAAGTATTTGAATTAGTGTAATACGTAACACTGCGCATGCAGTATAAAAAAGCATTTTTTGAGTTACAGGTATTAGTTAGTCAGTCAGTGACTCTTTTGTCAACATTAGTAATACGTTTTTGGAATTGATAAATGAAAGACAACACGACATGTCACATAACTTTATTAAGATCGAATTATTCTTATTCGCGTCTAAATGTTTAACTGCATTGGGCACGAGCCATCATTGAGATCTTCTGTGCCTTCTGTACTATGTCAGGACAATGTTTACGACGTACGAGTTTACAATCTTGAAAGAACCCCTCGTTTCTTGGGAAACCGTGTGACCCATCCGCGTACGTGACTAATCCTAAAGACAGTTAAAAATAGGACAGTTTGTCGATGTAACACAAAGGATACATCATCTCGAATACCCTACCTAGTCCCCATACGCGACCACCGCGAAATTCTCCTTCAAACTTCATTCCATCTGACCTCCAGAACACACCATGACCATGGAACCAACCTTGCATGAATTCTCCTTCATATCTAACATATAAAATACGTGAACGAGTTGATGATTATAAGATTTGAAGCGTCTTGTAATATTTACTTTGCTCCATCTGGAAACACTATAACTCCCAACCCAGAACACAATCCATTTTGGAAACCACCATCGTAACGTGTCCCATCTGGAAGGAGTAAAGATCCAGCACCATGCTTCAAACCCTTTGTATTCCAATCTCCAATGTACTTTGTACCATCTTCATATTTGTATGCACCATTTTTTGCTACACCTACAAGTAGATTTATCTGAGACACAAACTTCCCACAGAATTTTTCAAAGTCATAACGAACGATTCGAAAAGTACAGAAATTACTGCAAGTTAAGTCTTACCATCACCCATGCTTCTGGTATACTAAATGCATTAAAGAGTAGCTTTCAGGTTTCAATCCCATTAAAGAAATCAATTCTTTATTCAATTATGTACATTATGTATATATAGATACAATATAGGACAAATGTAATATGATGAATCAGTTTCTTTACTCTTATAAGAAAAAGTAGTACAGCGAGAGAAATCATTTTTCTTTTAACATACATACATAAATGGATGCATGAAAGGCTGAAGTCGTGTACAATAATCTTAAAGACATGAAAAACGTCAGAAGTACAAATTTTGTAACTTTTATTTATTAGATACAAAAACTTTGATTGCAGTCTATTGAATGCAACTCAGGCAGATCATTGTTCTTTAATTCCTCCTGGTGCGCCAATTAAAAACCATCGTGTTCTTGCTCTTACCGCGGCTTTCCGAACCAAACGTTTCCGATCATCAATTGTAATCGCTAGCTTTCCTAATACATCGTCCTTGTATGTATTAATTAAAGTAACTGGGTAATTGCAATAATTTGTTAAACAATTTAAAGCTGCAATCCTGACTCTCTGCAATATTCGACGAACGATAAGATATACATTACGATATACGTTATGATAATGAAATCTTATCGTGCATATATTACCATCGTTCTATACGTAGATAACGTTAGAAACCTTGGAATAAAGCATTGTATTTTATCAGCAAATATGACGTGTTCAGTCTCAAGTAAACTATTCAGTGTGACTAATGCTGAAAAGATTAGCTGTTCATTATCGAGAGACAGTGATTCTATTAGTAGCGAAACCAACTGTAAAGAAGATTCGTTATTATTACAAATTGTTGCAATTAATTTTGATGTATTATCAGTACCTTAGATAAATGCATAAGTAGAAGTTCTATAGGTACTTCCTCCAGCAATTCTACCAATGCTGTTAAATAGTTCTGCTTCGATGAATTTTCGAATTCAGATTTTTTTCTAATCAAATGTTCGAACACTCTTTGTTTGTAAAAAATGGCAATGTTACAAAAATTTTCTGCGACCAAAGTGTCTTCGTGTCTACTCGTTAAAATCTTATATTCGGTACCTACGTATTGGCCCACTTGGTCGTGTCTCAAAATATCTGTAAGCTGTGAACACACAGTGTTAAAATACGTTAAATCTGTTAAAATACGATAAAATATATCGGTCATCTATTACATACTTCATCCAAAAACATTTCGACATCATGGAAACCTTTCGTAATTATGGCTTTTGTTATCCACACTTTCAAAGAAGCTGTTGCTTTTTTTACATCGATATCACTATCTGAACCCAAATTATCTTTTATCCTATCATTAAAGTACAATAACATGTGTTCGAAGTATTCACTAATAATGTTCATTTTGTTTAATATAACAGCAACAAATTTACACGTTATAAGTCTTACATTTGAATGAACACTATTGACTGCTAAATTATAAAGATTTTCGAACAAATTATTATTTATTGCTAAATCGATGTCTTTGCGTAAAGGAATGAGAAGATTAATTGTGAAAACGGCATCGACTTCAGAAGCTTGTCCGCTTAAAATCGGAACATATCTGTTCGCAATTCTTTGTTGTTTTTCGAACGTAAAGTTTCGTACGATTAGTCGAAAAATATTCAAAATTAAATCTAATCTCTGATCCGTAGGACTGATATTAAGGGCAGATAACTTTTCGATAATATTACATCTTTCATACAAATAATGTTGAGCGTCATAGTCAATATGTTTCGTAGCAACCAGCTTATGGAGACACGATAAAGCTGTGCAGCTTATCTCAAAGTTATCAGAATTTGTCTGTGATACAATTTGTGGAAGTACTTCTCTACCTAACCTGTGTGTTTTAGCAACGGCTGCCAGTACTTCTAATTTACGAATTTGTACTTTCGTTTCCTCACCTGAAATATGACAAATGAATCTATATTTACATAAAACATATGCAATTGTAAGTGTATGTTAATTTACCATCGTTCAACTGGTATTTCTCCTTGATCAATGTTATTATTTCACATGGATATAACATCGCAAAATTTAAAAGAGATGTATGACAAAGTGTTCTTAATTCATTCGAGTTCGATTCAATCAAACTGTAAATTTGATTGTATAATGAGCTGCGATGTACTTCGTTCAAATACTTTTTTTGCAGCGTGAGTCCGGACAATATCTTTGACTGCAATTCTTCATTAGGTGTCAATAGATCATTTAAATACAATTGAGGAATATCTGTCCATGCTAATTCTGGAACATCTAAAGAAACAGCTTGTTAGATCTAAAGTATTTATGTCGCTACGATATAATACTTACTTTTAATGTTAAATCCATGGTCGGCAGCAATTTTAATAAACGTATTCAGTGTTTCAATATAAATTATTTTATCAGTCATCGAAGTTTTGGTAGAATATTGACCAAGGCATAATGGCATTATTATCTGTAATCCTTGTACACACGTTTCTTTGTTAACCGTTGCAATGCATTCCAACAATTTTACACTCGGCTTGAACAAATTAAGCTGTGCATCGTACAAACATGGCTTTACATCTTTGATGATGTAATCGATACTACTTTCACAAAGTTCAGTATCGCTCGATATAACTTCAATTATAGCTGCGAGTGCTTTTAGACTCGCATTTTTTACTTCCAAATCCTCCCCTGACATAATTTCCTTTCTCAGCCAAGAACATAATTCTGTCAAGTGTTCTTTAAGACCGTTCACACCGAACGTATATACACCTTTACATAACAAATTTAAAGAATCTAATTTGGCAACTTTAACACTGGAGTTTAATTTATCCAGTATAATCGGCATACAATATTCGGCGAATTCTGGTACAGCGCACAGGCAAGATGCCAATTTTTCTGCCAAATCATCACGCGTTATTCCCTCTGTTCCAGACTGAAAAATGTCAAGTCACATTATAATTCATACTCATAAATGGCGGGCAATTATAATCTTGATTGGTTGGTCAAATTACAGGATTGTAGTCAACTGGAAAATAGCATGAAATCACTTCAAACATATCTTCGGCCAAATGGCCTAATTTAAATTCTTTCATAAAGCGTGGAAGTATACTGAACAACAGCATCAGATTTTTAGGATCTTTCTCCCCGTCGATAGAACTGATAACCACATAAATAAAATCTGGTCCCATGGCTTTTAAATCTTCTATTCTCTTTTCTAACAATGTTATAAATATCAAATATATAGTATAGCGAACAGGTGTTAGTTGATTTTGACAATAAACGTTGTCGAAAAATGTTCTCAATAAACGTTCAGGTGAATCTTTAGATAAATGAGTCATTTGAACCTGGAACAATCATGCTAGTTAATTTAACTGTACAAGCAAATATATTTAATTGCAAAATGCTAATGTTAAGAACCTACAGTTGCTAAAATTCCCGTCAATACTTTTGGTATGATGCTGTAATGACCTTTCAATCTATTACAGTAAAATGATACGATGAAACTCAATTCGTTTTCATTCAAATAATCGTTGGGCAAATGTGATAAAATTGTAGAAATAGCACAAATACCCTTCTCCCTGACCTCGATATCTGTATCTGTTATAAGAGGTCCAAGGGTTTCTACAATGTCATAAAGCTTTACATGTCCGGACTGGATCTCTAAATAAAACAGAATAGTTCTTCCATTAATCATGAACTCATTTTATTAATTTATTGTATATTCAGGGCAGCAACATAAACATGATATTTCAATAAATTGTAAACAAGTTTTTTCAACGCATGCCTCTAGTTTTTGTGTGGATCATCAAGGTCAATCAACATCTATAGAAACAACGATTATGGTAATTAATACATACCCAAGGCAATTTCTTGGCATACTGTGTTCAGTGTTTCGTCCTCCTTAAAAGCATCGAGGAATCTTTCCTTAAAAACGTTAGTCGTGAGTGAAGACATTGTAAATCATGCCTCCTCGCAATGTTACTTAACCTTGACGTATCAATAAAACGTTATTTTATCAAGTCTTGGATTTTTAATTGATCCTTTCATTCGGAATATATCGGATGAAAATTAGAGCAGAAAATGCTCACAAGTGCTAAGTTGGCATAACACGTGTCAGTGGAATCTTTGATCAATTGAAAGAAACTTGTATTGTATAAAACTCGTTTTATTTGAATTTTTAACGTCTGCACGACCACGAATGTTAATATTTTTAGGTTAGTTCATTGGGGATTCGATCATAGCGCCTCTAATGGTACCGATCCGTAATGTAGTGGATAAGATGGACGAAAATGGCATGTGAGGTGTTGTTAAATTTCAGTGAAATGTTTGGTTACACCAGCCACCTAGGATGGGAGGCTGCATAGGTATAACAAGGGCAAGAAACGCCTCTGTCGACGATACAACAGGAAATTCCACGAGAGTAAATTCAGGTAACCGAAATGGGATGCGGTTGAACGCGCAGAAATTTCAACCAACAACAGCTAACCTTGAAGATCCAGTCCAGCTTTTCCATTACCTTCGTACCTAGCGTTTATTGCGTATTATTTAGCAGTATTTACATATTATTTCTTGTTGAGGACAACGGGTATTCGCAACTGCTCATTAGAATATTATGTGATGTTCAATCACTTGATTAGAAATATATCATTATACTTATTAATGTCATTTGAATGTTATAAAAATCTAAATTTCGTCATTGATCATTACTTCTTCTCTAACATTAGATTACTACCTTAATTTTTATTTATTTTCAAAACTGCTTTCTATTTGATAAAAGAATTTTAGAATCGTAAGGAAATGAATCCATTTTTGATTTGCATAGGAAATTCAAGAAAAAATCACCCACTATGCCATGAGGTAATTAGGTGGAAGTCAGATGTACCTTTGACAGAAGGACAATTGAGAAGTAAAAGAGATGAATTTTGGGATACTGCACCAGCTTTCGATGGGCGCAAAGAGATATGGGATGCACTGAGAGCTGGTGCAACAGCAGCAGAAGCACAGGATTATCAGCTGGCACAGGCTATATTAGATGGAGCTAATATTTCTGTGCCAAATGGCTTCTTAACAGAATGTTACGATGAATTGGGTACCAGATATCAAGTCCCTATTTATTGCTTATCATATCCAATTAATATTGTTAAAGAAGATAGTGGAAGAGACTCTCCTGCCGACTGTTCAGGTAGTCCAACATGTGGCAGACATTTAAGAACATTCTCAGAAGAATAATTAATTTTTAATATCGGTTCGCCTATTTATAGAACCTGTAGATAGTGGAATTGAACAGACGTTGAAGCTCAGATTATCAACCACCTTAGGAGAAGTGAAATTGCCTGTTTATAGTAAAGACACGTTTGCCACTGCTAAAAAGAAGTTACAGGTGTGTATATAGTTACGTTAATTATATTCTTTTACATCGCGTTAATCGATGAATTGATGTTTTGCGCGAGCAGAGTCAAGAAGGTTTAGAACCATCCCGCCAAAGGTGGTTTTTCGGTGGGAAGTTATTAGGTGATAAAATGCATATAGAAGAAGCGAAAATACAACCGGGCTATGTAATACAAGTAATTGTGAATCCAGAAAAATCAGACGACAGCCCAGTGAAAACGAGTTGAACTTAATATACGGGATGCGCGTCACGCTGAAATCATGTTTCTTTGATAAGCATGTTCTTACATGCATACAAAGTAAGAGTACACGTTTCTTTTTTTAATTTTGTATCATGTCATTGTTAAGTACGGAGCAGCAATTCTTAAAGTGATTTTTTTACAATAAAACGCACTTGAAATATAACTTTCATAACACGCTTACATGTCAATAGGAATTAAACGATGTTGCGTTTAAATTGTGGGGTTGTGATTATTTAATTTTTTTTTGTTAATTTATAAACTAGACCAAAAAAAAAGATATAGTGCTAACTATATACAAGAATCAACTGTTGAAGAATTCTTATAAATATTTAAAATTGGAGAAACTTGTAAAGTGAAAAACGTGATTGGTATTAAGATAACGTTTGTCTCGTGGCGAAAATATTCATATACTTATTTGTTACTACCAACGAAGGTGCTGGTGCTGTAACACTTCAGAAACTAAGTATACATGTAGAAAAGTATTCTATGCTGCTTATTAAACCATGTTGCATAATTATAGACGATGCAAGAATTGAATCACACTTAAAAAAAAAGATCATACTAATAATAACAATAATAATAGGAGAACTACGTAAACATTATAAAAATACAATGGACAATAGAACAAAAAGGAACAAGGTATATGCTGCTTATTGTAATGCATTTTTTCCTCACTTCTTGTAGATTCCATTTTAAAAGTCTGTTCAATTTTTAATTGACAATTATAATTTTTCCAAGATTAAATTATCAACAGTTTTTCCTCGGTGCATAATACATGCAATTTATACTTCTGTCTTTACGAAATTCGTGAGAAACTTTTGTAAACCTACCCACAACGTTTACGAAACATTGAATTACTTGATAAAAGTACACGTTTGGCCTAGTAGTGGCCTAAGATCTATGATTCCTTCCTACAAGTACTAATAAGGTATGACGTAAGGTCTACACAGCTAAATGATGCACAGGAAAAAATGTAAGACTAATTAATTAAATTGCATGTGGAGCAGAACGTATAATTTTTTATACAAGTTTACTAGCACAATCACTATTACACGTGTTATTCGTGCTTAAGATAAAACGGTGAACACATTGAAATCAATATTACTAATTCAATTTTTCATAGCACTTGAATTTTTACTTCTGCTCTACATGTCGCATGGAAGACAGAAAATTATATAAGGCATAATTATTTAAAAAAATGACATATTATGCGTGTGAATTTATTGACTTTACTAACACAACAGTGATAAAGTTTGTTTTTCATATGCATTGATCATATAAAAATTATAATATGTATAGTACTGCGTGTGCGTGTATGTATAATACGTAATACATAAAATGTGTATGTATACAGATACGTTGGTCCTGCTATTCTCGATTTGAGTGTCAAAACAAAAATATATTTAATCTTATAAGCAACTTGATTATAAAATTGGATATTGCGTACGAACTCTATAACGATAAAAATGACTGGAAGCAATCGTTAGACGTACATACATACATATGGACATAAACGTTCATACGAAAGATATGAAATTTTATGTTTACTTGAAACGTTTTGCATTTCTTTGATATCCACTATATTGAAGCAGTGCAAATAGACGTATTGTTTCAGATCTGTGAATTTAACAGCTGTACGTGTACTATCCGTTCAAGTGTTAACTAATTGTGTTCAAAAACTAGCACTCCTTTATGCAAACAAACAAATCTTCTTGTACAATAATTTGTAATATGATATATACGAACAACTAATGAAGGATGTATTTTTGTTTGTCTGATTATATTCAAGTGACATTGTCCAAAGTATGTTGGACGATGTTTAGCCTAAAGCACGATGTGCGGCTAATAATAATTAAGTTGAAAAATACAGAGAGAGGGTAATGGCATTTATGGATAGATATTCTCTTTACCAGAGTAACTAAGACGTAAGATTCTTAATATAAATTCCATCAGACTGATGTTAGTTTCCTGACGTTAAGATTCGAATTATCCGCAATATATACTGAAAGAGACTGCATTTTAAGTTCTTTTTAATTGATTTATCAAACGATACAAGAAGATTATTTTTGTGTATAGTATCAGTTAAATTGTATACTTCTCACGCATATATATTACATATATACGAAGATTTTAATATAAATGTTGTGTTCTTTTTAAGTGATACAGTTTGTATTTGTGTGAGTGACAAAATACATTTTCCTCTAATACTCATGCCCGTGTAATGTTGAGCAAAAAAATGTGATGCGGCGCCATTTGCCATATAAAAGGAAATTAAATGAAAATACGATAAATGTAAATAAAAAAACGGAAGAGTTACAATAACGAAAGTGCAATTCAGGACGCCTATTAAATATTGCTATTGCTTAGTATTAATAACGCTATGTTGGACCAATGCATACAAAAGCGTTTCCAAACGAAAAGAAATATAAAAATTAAAGGACGACTGATCGGAGATAAGGTAGAAGAACTGCCAATAAAAGTAAATCTGAATTCACTGTATTGCTAATCGGAAGTTGGAAGAAACTTTTTCAGATGTTAACAAAACTATTATTATATAATTAGATAGCAATTAATGATTATAGGCAGGGTTTACTGTTGTATAATTGCGTGTAGTACTTCGAGGTCGCGAAATTCCGGATCAGATTATGTAACGCAATAGGGAAAGGAATTAAAGATGAAATTAGCACATAAACAGCAGCGTTTTTTCAAACTTGAATTTAACCTTATGAATTGTATATGAACTAATGTGTATGAATTCATTGCCTATGATCGACTAAGCGAACTTGTTATTAACGAATTTATTATAAGCGCTCATTTATAAAATTATTCTATCGATGGAGATTCTGAAAGACTTTTCTTTTATCATTTTGTAACGACGTATCTTTATTTCAATACATATCTCAAATACTTCAGTTCATGGCACAACCAGATCATCGAACTCAAAACGATAAGACTGCCGGATTGATGAGACGCGGCTAACGGCAAAGGCACGTGATACAGCAATGTTGTTATGCCTAATACAACTTGCAAATAGCCAGCACAAAGTACAGCGATTACAGCTCTTTTTGCGTTACCGGGTAGCTTATATTTGCGAGATGCGATTCCGATATAAGTTATCAACGATAAAGTCGTGATACCCTGTAAACAAAATATATGGTAATCTTCGAATCGATTCGAACGGTCAATCAAACGTACCAGGATTCTATGATCGAACTGGACGGTTGTTGGATTCTCGGTGAAATTTTTCCATCTCGGTGACACCGCGAGTATATCGTCCGGTATCCATCTGTTTGCCATTTTTGGGAAAGTATTGTAAATCAGACCCGCGTCCATCCCCGCTACGAAAGCTCCGGAGAGCGCGGTGAAAAATACCAGCCCTTTCGTCGAATGAACTACCATTCGAAATCTTTTCAGCCTCGATTTCAGTTGGCTAATGTCAACATTCAAATTACTTAAATTCAATTTCTCCGCCGGACTTAAATAATCTAATGCGTTGTACAGAAATCCTGTGTATATGATAAAAGCCATGCCCAAGTGAGCGGCCAAGCGATACTGAGAGACGCGGGGCACGTCCGAAGGCTCCACAAAACGATCCTCCAAACCAGATTTAACCATGTACCAACCCATTAGTCCTTGCAAGCCGATCAGTGAACCCAAAACGGCCACCCGGATTTTCATACCCGGATTCAGCATACCTTTCGCCCAAAAGTAAGTCGCCGGAACTATGAAAACGGCGCCTATCAAACGTCCCCACATTCTATGCAAATATTCCATCCACCAAATGCGCTTAAACTCCTCCAATGTCATATTCTGATTATTGCTACAAATAAATTGAAAAGACAGATGGTTCTCTTGGCAAGAATTATCTCATTCTGTGAGCCCTTACATTTTATATTCAGGAAATTGCTTGTAACGTTCAAACTCTTCGTGCCACCGAGTTTCAGTAGTGGGCATTCTCTCGCCGAGTAATTTCCAAGTAACCATGGATAAACCAGACTCTGTGAGTCTCGTTACACCTCCTAAGTCCAGAGGAAAAGTCAAGTAACCGTCAGCGATTTTTTCAACGTTCTTTATTTATATGTTATGCTTCATAAAATCTTAATCACTAAGATTAGTATCTCTTTTCCCTTTTGCGAAAACTATTTTCCATAAGTTTTATCTACGATAACTTTTATGACTGTACAAGCACAGTAATAAAAAAAACAATAAACAACTATACCTAGAACAACTGCTACGAAAACCATGCCACTGCAAGTTAATAGCCATTTCCCCACAGCCTTACTCGTTTTCTTTGCTGGCTTCGATGCACAACCTAAAGCTATAATGCTACCTCTCTTAAGTAAATGCTATAAGAACAGCAATAGTTAATTATTATTGTTTTCCCTGTTGAATGTTTAAACATATGACGCAGTACCTTATTTAAATAAATAGAATTCCTTTTTACTAATGCGAGACCTGTGTTTGTAATTATCGACTTTGGAGTATGCGAATACAAATTGTTCTTAATTGTTAAAAATCTCACTACACTATTTCTTGTTAATGTTGAGCTGCAATACCTTGCCAGGCTCAACATGCTGGAAAAGATTTAAAACTTATTTGTTATTCTGAAAATTTATGCGCACGATTACATTGTACTTACATTGCAGCGGTTTATTCTATATTCAATTTTTTATTGTCTCCCCAAGTCAACCCTTTCTCATCTAATAATGCAAACAGGTAGGCAATGTATATATAGTACATATACAAAATTTCGGCAGAAAACAATTTTCTTTCAATAACTTGTACGAACAAAAAGGATCGTGATTAGTTTAAAAATATACGGTGGAAAATTCTTAACGCAACACTCAGAGATCCGAAATATACTTTTTTTTTTAGTTGACCAAAACGAAGTCTATTAGTTCTAACCTTGTGCAAACCCGTGGTCAGTATTTAAGATGTCATATTTTCAAACACGAGACATCAGCAAGTAAATCTACATTTGATATATTACTGATAAGAAAATAACTGTTCAATATTTTCGTATAGATAATACATAAGCGTTCTCGTCACGATAAGATAGACAGTTGCTACCTGCTTTAATCGGAATATACGAGACAAAAGTGATTGTCATATTCTCTGTGAGCACTATATACGTATATAATAACAGTTACATACGTATGTTAGTGAGTTGATCAAATTAATTTGATTAATTAACGATTCATTGTATTTTAGTAGTTCCTGAAGAAAATTTTCCAGTATAAACGTCAATATGGCACACAGAACCGGTGCCACGAAATTAATTAAGCTTCGCGAGTTGATGGAATTGGTTCAGATCGGAGGACTCAAAGGAAGAGGTATTCAAGCTCTGATTGTAACATCGGACGATGCTCATCAGTCGGAATACATGAGAGAGCACGACAAGAGAATTCGGTTCATAAGCGGTTTCACCGGCTCGTTTGGCACCGCGATCATTACACAGAATAAAGCTCTACTCTGGACAGATGGGAGATACTACGTGCAAGCTCTGGCAGAGTTTGACCCGCCAGAAGAGTGGACTTTAATGAGGGAAGGTTTATTGGACACTCCAACAAGGGCTGCATGGTTGCTCTCTAATTTGCCACCCAAATCTACTATCGGCGCAGATTCCAATCTGATGAGCTACACAGAATGGGTAGTCTTGCATACTAGTCTCAGTGCTGCTGGTCACTGCTTGATGCCTCTAGAGGAGAACTTGATCGACAAAGTTTGGGGTGAGGAACAACCTCCTCCTACGACCAACACTGTTCTACCTCAACCGTTGCAATTCTCTGGACGGAGTGCAGGGAAGAAGGTGGAATTCTGTAGAGAAGCAATGGTTAAGAACGAGGTGAAAGCATTGGTGATCACAAATTTGGATGAAGTAGCATACATCTTAAACTTGAGGGGCTCCGATATACCTTATAATCCAGTTTTCTTTGGATACGTTATTGTCACCCTAGATGCCTTGCATTTATTTATCGATAAGAACAGACTTTCTGAAAAGGCCCAAGCACAGCTGATCAGTGAAGAAGCAAACGTTGTCTATCACCCGTACGAAGATATACATACGTTCCTCAAAACAGTTGCGAGTTCGTGCGGAGATGACGAGAAGATATGGATAAGCAATAGTTCTAGTTATGCTTTACACGCTGACTGTGGAAAAACAAAGAAGCACACTAACATTACACCGATAAACGTTATGAAAGCAGTAAAGAATGACGTTGAAATGGAAGGTATGAAAGCGGCACACGTACGAGACGCGGTAGCGCTCGTAAAGTATTTCGCTTGGCTGGAAGATCAAATTGTAAATAAGAAGGGAACGATCACGGAAATATCTGGAGCGACTCAACTTGAGAAATTCAGGCAGTAAGAGAAATTATATTACATCGTATGATTCGGGTATAATTGACTTTAAATATTTTATTCAAAAGAGAGCAGAAAAATTTCGTCGGGCTCAGCTTTCCGACGATATCTTCTGTTGGACCGCACGGTGCAATTATTCATTATCAACCAGCGCCAGAAACAGACGCGACGATTACGGACAAAGAGATTTATCTTTGTGATTCCGGCGCGCAATATCAAGACGGTACCACGGATGTTACGAGAACGTTGCATTTTGGTACCCCAACGGATTTCGAACGCGAATGCTTCACTAGGGTGTTCAAAGGACAGTGTCGCCTTTCCTCCGCCGTTTTCCCTCTGATGCTACAAGGAAATTATCTCGACACGCTTGCACGGGAGAACTTGTGGAGCGTAGGGTATATGCGAAAGTTCTTTGGTAAAATGGAAAATATTGTTTATTCACATTTAAATGCTTACAGTCTTAATTATCTTCATGGTACGGGGCACGGAGTGGGTTCCTACTTGAACGTTCACGAAGGGCCTATTGGTATTTCTTGGAAACCTTATCCTGATGATCCAGGCCTACAACCTGGCATGTTTCTTTCAAATGGTAAAATGTAAACCGACTTCTTTATTGCTGGACGATACGAAGATGTAGAGTTAACGTCGATAAAACTATTAGAGCCAGGTTATTACGAGGACGAGAAGTTTGGTATTAGATTGGAAAACATAGAATTGGTGGTGAAAGCGGATACACCTTACAATCACAAAAACCGTGGTTTCCTTACTTTCGAAACTGTCACATTGGTGCCTATACAAACTAAACTATTGGATCTCTCCTTATTAACAGATAGTGAGGTATATATTCGATTTGTCTCACTTTTTAGTCACCCTAACATTTACAATTCATTTGCAGGTTCAATATTTGAATAACTATCACGCGAAGTGTCTAAATACTTTGAGACTTTTCTTACAAGGACCAGAAAATGCGCAAGCACTCGAATGGTTGGAGAGAGAAACTCGACCTATTTCAAAGTAATTTACATAAAATCGGGATCTCCGAAGCCTGCATATCTCCTTTTTGCAATAACGAATAAATTGTTACATAATTATTATTTTATTTCGATTGCATCTACTCCCATGTTCCTTGTACCACTAAAGCTTCATAACTAGACATATTTATCACGCAAAAATCAGTAAACAATCCTGTGACTGATCACCAGAACAACCAAGGTGGTTGAGGCAACTTGTCTAAAGAGGTGTAAGTCAAATTCACTGGGATATTGATTAAAGCAAACGGTTGATTTAAACGTTCTAGAGTTTGCCGGATCATTTTACCATTCTTACCGAGCAGAAACCCGACAGGAATATTTACTGTCTTCGACGCCGGTATAGTATCATCTCTTATCATTTCTACATAATAATAGTCAGCTGAACTGGTTATCGATTCTTCTATAGAAGACGAATGATAATCGGCTATGATTACAGCCTTTGATCCAACTTCTTCCGCTATCATACTTTTTACAAAGAAACTGCAGTCACCTCTTTCGATTAATGCGATTCTGCCTTCCAATTCGTTGGCATTCTTTGCTATCTGACATCCATGAGGAGGATCGGTTGGAACCAAAGGGATACCTTCTTCCAAGAAGCTTGCATTCTATGAGTTTTACAAGTAATTATATGTACTTATGCTAATATCATCTATGCCTGTCAGTATACAGATGTACTTACAAAAGGTGCTCCAAAATCTTTTGCTGGTCTCAATTTATACGTGTATTCTAACTCCGGCGGGTATATAATTTCGAAGAACACATCGGAACCGATACTCGCGTCGACGTACGAATTTACAGATTTAAACGTGAGCGTGTGTCCTACCGGATGTTTAATAAACGTTGTTAAAGCAAACGTTTCTTAACGCGAATAAATATACTAACCTCCGCTCGATTTTCGAATAGCGAGAAGGACGAGAATAAGGAATGTACCAAGTAACTGTATTTTCTGTATTTGCATGGTGCGTTCACGGTCTTAATAGCGACATTACTGTGAACGTGAACATTGTATGACACTCGAGTTGATGAGTCGCACGTCAATTCGTAAGAATATAAATAATAATATATCCTACGCCTTTGCTGGCCTCTGCTTTGGTCTTTAATTCGTGCAGTTCAAACGATTTTGGGGTTGCACGTGGCGCTATCTAGCGTTCACTTGCAACCGCTTGGCTCCAATTTGGCTGAGAAGGAAGCGAGCGGCCGCTTGTCAGTTGTCACGTTGTCAGCCATATGCAGCCGATGCAGCCATATGGTTTAGAAGAGCGCGGCTCTCTTCTAAACACGAAATTTCTTGCCAAAAGTTTTGATTCGATGGAGCCAAGCTTATTCTTGACAGAGATGAAACAAGATTCAAAGTCGCTCAAAAATTCGTTTATTGATTTATATGTATATTAAATATTAGTACTTATTACTAAGAGAATAATATTTTTTGTATTAAATAGTTAGTTATAAATTGGTACTGTTACCCCTCCGCTTCGAATTAGGTCGCATTTTCTCCGATCTTCCTGTTTCTTGCTATAAACGAATTCTCTATTCGAATACGAATCTGACTAGGATTTCTGCCGAAATAAATCTACCTTCGCCTTGCGCAACATCGTTCTTTGAAGCTTGTTGTATTTGCGCCGGATTATTTCCAAAGATTCTCTATCGGCAGGTTCTAGCATCGCTTTCATCGACTTGTCGGTATAATGTAATAAAAGGTTCTTCCTTTTACAGTACTCTTTAAAACCAGCTTCCAGTTTCGAACCCGTCTCTTTCTGTCGTCTGGTCAGTTCGATGATCTCTTTCTGCACCTGGCTCATTTCCTCTTTCAAAGAGTTTAAAACTTTTTGGTGACACTGAATATCTTTCTCAATCGAATTTTCCATTTCGAGAATAAGTTTCGTGTCGCTATTTTCTAATTTCAAAACGCGTCGAATTTCTTGGTGCTTGCCGAGCTTGTCGCAAGCATCGTCTAAATTTCTCTTCACCTGAGGGACACCCCGAAGAGAATTAGCATTTTTGCACGCTTTGCATTAGACGCCACTAACGCACCTGGAAATATATGTCGATCGTGTTCGTAAATTTTTGATGAACGCCAGCGAGAGCTTTCTGACTCTTGTCGAACATCTCCTTAATTTTGGTGTACATTATGTTCTCTTTTAAGAAGCAGTTGAACAAATGTCGTGCCTGTTCAATATGCATCGAATTAATTGTGTACGATATGAATTGACAATGGTTTACTAACCGCCCCCATATGCTGGTCATCGATTTTCACAATATTTTGTGTCTGTATTGTGCGTACCGTTGTATCGTTTGTATAAGGACCTAAAGTAATACCTGATCCTGTTTGATACCAAAAATTACTTTGTACATGTTTCACAAACGAAACGTCGAAGATAATTATATCAGATTGGCCTACTTTCAACTAAGCTTCCGACTTCTTCCTTTCCCATTTCCTGCTGAAGAGGTTTCACCTCGAGAAGAATTTGGGAGAGACTTCTGAGTCGTTGCCAATTATCATCAGTAGTTTGATCGTCGGTATCCTATTTAATTAATCCCGGTTAAAATTCAAATGCAACTCGAGTCGCTGAGTCAAAGTACCTTATGATCACTTTCGAGTGAACGATCAACGACCGGCGCGCCTTTCATCAAATTCTCGTAAGTCTCCTTCATTTTCTCAACCTCAACCTCCTTCACTGTGAGCCTAACAATCGATTTCTTAAAGACCGAACAAAAACGTATGATATTTACCCAACATGAGATGCAACCTATCATATAAATCCTTGATAGTCTTCAGCAAAGCTTGAGCCTGAGACACGCTGATTAGCGTGAAGTCCGAGATCTTGCCGTCCAAGTAACTAAGAATGGTTCGGTTAATTTGTTCCAATCGAGATTTGGAAATGTTCACAAGCGCCTCTTGTTGTAAAAACAGATCGTTCAACATTAATTCCTTCTTTAAATCGTTCACTTCGTTCTGGAGTTTGTGCACTAGTAAATCTCCTCGGTGTTGAATGTTCTCCTTCACTTTAACAGGTTTCAGTCTCGCTACTTTTGCAGTAAACTTCAAAGTCGATAACGTGATATCGAGGTCTTCCCTTGTAATTTGAACGTGAGATATGAATCTGTGTGCAATTATACTCGATTAATAAATTTGTCACACGTGTTTAAACACATTTAACTTGCATTCTTACTCACCGAATTACGGACGAAAGCGAGAACGCGCTGCCTAGGATCCTCAACAAATTACTCGATCGTATTATATTAATACAGGAAGATTTCGGCCTCGTTATATAATTGAAGAATTGCTCGAGTTCAGACTTCATTAAATTCGCCATGCCGATATCCGCGGCCGTTTTCCAACAACTACTACTCCTCCCTGCCGTTCCGGTACCTGCTGCTTCCACTATGTGCATCTAACGTGTTAATGGAATCTCTGATTAAAGCCAAAGTCGTCGAAGGGATAATTATTAGACCGAAAATTGTACAAATGCAGAGAACTTGCAGCGTAGTAATTATTCATTAATGATCACCTTGGCCGTAGTTACCACGCCCCAGGATGTAATTAGGCTCATATTAGAGACGTGAAACGTAATCACAGCTGTGGCCAAATGAGACATCGGATAATTCGATCCCTTCGTGGTCGATCTCCTGATCTCGGCATTAAAAATTTTGCTAAGGGCTTGCCTTTCGTTATCTATAGAGACCACAGTGATATCCTAGAATTTTTACTAATAAAGTTCTATCCATTGTCACTTGAATATTTAGTAACACCTTGAACGGGTCTCGCTCGTTTATCTTGATCTTATTACTCTCATCGGAGACCAACAGATCTCTCGCTTCTTTGCCGTACAATTCCACGAAGCTGATTTGGTACTCTATCTGGCTGACCTTCTTTCTGTTAGTCTTCTCAGCGAACATGCGAGACAGCAGTCGCGGGACCAGGCCCCTGTGCTGAGAAAAAGGATGTAACCACTGCGTTTTGCGATGCGAGATAGCGAATTCATAGTGTTTCTCGTGGTCGTACTTCCCAATTGTTTCTGAGGCCGCTGATGGTAAAGCTCTTTCCGGTTCCGGTTTGTCCGTAGCCCAGCAAAACGCAATTCACACCGTCTAGAATTCTTAAACCGCGGTACCTCGACTAGTTCGTGTACTTCCGTTATGATACCGTTCGAGGCTTCCTTTATCCCGAAAACAAATTCGGAAGTCTCGAATAATATCAACTGGAATGAAATATCTATCAGGCTGGTACATACGAAACGTAATCGTCTCTGAAGTTTCAATCCTCGAATATCAAATTACAGATGAAATAATTTGACAAAATTTATAATAAAAACAATTATATTAATTGAAACGTTTGTTGTAAGATAATGAAATTATTGGACCACTCAGGAATATATAGAGGTAAGTGATACATCATTTGAATGAAATGATATTCTACAAAATTTCGTATGCACTGACCTAATACAATAGACTCCCTATTAACCGGCCTCTGACCACTGGCTGGTTAAAAATCGTGGCCAGTTAAGAGCTTACAGTGTATGCTCTAAAGTTAAGAGGAGATCTATTGCGTTTTTCTTTACTTTGTTGCAAGATCCTGGGTCGAAGCGCGGAAAACTTCTTCTTGCGAGGTGTCACAAAAGATGCCGTCTGTTCGAAAGCACCAGTAGGATGGCTTTTCCGAAGTAATTATTCTATTCGGTTGCATTTGTTGTAAGCGTCGCACATATATTTTCTGCGGAAATTCAAATCGAGCATTGCTGTTTGTTAAACCGAGAGGAAGCTTGCGTTACCTTGCGATCGGCGTCGATTTTCGCGCAGGATTCGCAGAACGTCTCGAGCGGTAGTATTCTGACAAAAATCTTTACATTTTTTTCGTAAATGTCTGTGTCATCGTTATTCGTCATCGTATCGGGAGAGCTTGATTCGTTCGAACCTAATTCTGTTTACGCTTGTCTATGGGTTTTTGCTGCGAAGTTGTAAGATTACTTGTTTCTTTTGGATATTCATTTTTTCGGGAAGGGATTTTCCTATTTTTTTAGTTGGCGTAACATTTTTAGTTTTAGGGTTGATCGGTTTGCGGCCCCAACGGACGGCGACAATCGATGCGCGGATATTTTTAAGTATTGATTACGCGTGTAACTTCAGCCCCGAAGATTTCGTTTTTTTTCTCAAAGGCAACAGAGACAGTACGCGTTTACAATATACAGAATTATATTGAACATACAAAAATCTTGTATTCCTAATTCCTACTTATATCGAATACGCACTATCATCTTGTAATATACAGCATCTTACAATTAATACGCGTCATATATATATGTTATTTATATATGTATATATATTTTCATATTCTGTGAAAAACACGATAAATCTTAGAAAATCATCAACATGATGTGATCAGTATCGAGTCTTTTATTTTGTGATAGTTTAATACAAATCACACATTGTGCCGTCGAGAAAAGCGACTCGTATAATATAATTTTGCGGAGAACAAAGTCAGCTTTCTTCTTCTTAAATAGATAAATTCTTAAATTAAATGAAAAAAAAGAATTAAATCAACGCAAAGATCTTGAACCAATATCGTGGAGGCTTACAGATTTCTTGAACTACACGTAAAATCAATTCATATAACATTACGTATTTACCTAATTTTTTTCATTATTTTTTTACTTTTATCAAAAACTTACAAAATTATTCAAACCGTATAAAATTTCTGTCGCATGCATTCAAACATAAATGGTTGCGCTCAAACCGTCAGTTCCGTTTTCCAACTGAACAACAAAACTAGAATTATGCTTTTCTTGCACTTTGCAAAAACAGAAAATGTGAGAATGGAACGATAACTGTTAACTTGCTATTTAAAAAGACGAGAAATCCGTTTAATTAAATACAACGCCCTGCTCTCTTATCACATTGCGCTTCGATCATATCTCGCAGACATATTTCCATCGATTCGTGTCGACAATGAACGTAGATTTCAATGCAGCAGAACAATTACAATCTAAACAAAGGTACACGTCTCTTACCGTAAAATATTTCCTTTCCCTTCTCCAACAAACGTTCTCGATCTTTTCCTTTACACAAAAAAAAACTATATATAATTTCTATTTATGCAAACACTCTTTGCCTTCTTTCAAGTCTCCATTCCTTCAATTAACGAATAATAATAATAATTATTATTATCGATAAATACTATCCAAGCTATACCTACGGACTATCGCAGATAGAAACGCATTAGAAATGGTATAAAATGGACATGTTTTCTAGTTTCCTCAACAATGCTAGATATATGTATATTCCTATATATATATATATA